ATTGAAATAAAAGAGAGAACAGGAAAATATAGTTTTTAGACAACATTTAGAGGAAGCAAAAGAAGAAGCAGCTCTTTTAGATGTCGATATTAGATGCCCAAGAATTGTACCAAGGCAAACCCAGAGGGCAAACATCGTACCTGCGAAGTCACCGGAAGAGTAATTTTGGCTGTGTATCCTTCTTCTAGACAATTTACCACTGATCTTCAGGAGCGATTATCCTCAGATCAGAGACACTTGATTGAAGGTGTTTTTATTACGAGAGTCACTTATACTAGAAACCGTTAAGCAACTCGCAATCGAGTATGAACCGCTTCTGGACAATATTACGACAACTTGTACAATATTTGTGAATGAATATCGGAATTGCGATGCCGAAATGTATCCCAACATAAAAAAGTTCGTATGCATCCTTACTACATTACCAGTTAGTGTAGCGACAGTAGAGATGGCCTTTTCTACGCTCAAGAGGCTCAACACATGGTTGCGAGCCTCTATGGCAGAACATCGCTTAAATGGACTGGCACTTTTATATGTCCATCAAGTTGTACACGGCGATACGGAAGAAATCATAAATCGATTTGGGAGAAGACAAAAATAAATTAATTTTGTTATTTAACAATAGGAACTTTACTTTTAAATTAGATTTACTATTAGGCTACGCCGTATGAGTACACGGGTAGGGTCACTGCAACCCCCCGTTCTTGAATTTTTAATCGCAGCCCCCCACCTTGAGAGGAATATCTTCCTGAACATGAATCCAGTGACACCATCTGACACAAATGCTGCTTGCGAAATACCATATCAAGCGGCTCGGGTATTACGTATCTTGAAAAGTGACATTACACAGGGGTAGGTATGTCGATTTTTTTTATAAGTATTATATTGGTTTTTTTGTGAGATTATGTAGGAGGATTTTCTACAAGGTGTTAACTTAGCACATGCTGATGGACACATTGTGAACTCGTTTTGTAGTTATACGTGTTGCCTAAACGTCATGAGACTTCAGCTATCAATGTTTGGCTGAGATTCAAAGCTAGAAATTAGTTGCGCATCCAGTTAAATTATATATGCAATTTTGCTGAATTTAAAAAATGAGAGGGATAAGGAATAATTATATTTACTGTACACTATCGAATGACAAGTCATATACATACTAACAGTAATTACACACAACGCGGACGCGGTGGTGATTTCCCGTAATTCTTCTTGAAGTTTTTGAAAACACAAATAAACGTGAAAAGTAGTAATTTACAACTTTGTTATCAGAAAGGACAACACATAAATAACCCGCATATTCAGTAATGGCTCTCTCACACAGCAAATATCACTGAGCTTATACACATGCAGACCAATACACACAATCATCCAGATTCGATCTTGCTATTCAACCAAGTTTCTTCTTAGAGATGAAAACTATAGACTACTCGGCTTAACAAAACATATGTCACCAACAATGCGTGTAGTTGAGCTATTCCTCCATAGATGGACGCTCACAACGATCTTAGTGATCAAAGGTGGAATGATGTTTGCACCCTAAAAACTAGCTGGTCTGCAACATGACATCTTATAGTTTTTTTGACATTTCATAGGTTTTGTACATTACATCCGTGCCTCTTTAACATTTTGGTTAGTCGATGCCGCTTCAGGAGGTCCACTGCCGTGTTGGTTCTTGCAAGATGTCGTTTCACAATTAAAATGGCTCACACCAGCGTTTGATTATATCATACAGGTAAGACCGTCCAGCAGTTGTCACGATATTTTGATGGGTCTCTTTTTATGAAAAATGTTATCGATACGTGTCTCTTGCTTCTACTTTCTGGGTTCACTGGCGAGCGTGCATGCCTCGTCACGTGTCCTACAATAACTGCCACGGTGCCACGCTGACGCGTCGTGTGGTCAGATAGACCGTTCTACCGGCAGCGCATTACCCTGTTGTGCATATTCATAACTAACTCTTTTCTCAGATGACCTAACTTCCTCTGAACATAATCCTTTATGAACTCATCACAGCGTTGCGCGCAAAGTGCAGAGTTTAGCTACTTGACGCTATTTTTGCAGATACTTTATTAGGCTCTGCTCAAGCGATCCATTTCTATTAGAATCGTTGTCACAAACGAACGAAAAAGCACATAACACCAAAACAGTTTAACTAGTAAGTAATATTTTGCTAACATAGCCGACCTAGGATCACTTGTTCTACTCTTAATAATATTCACCAAATAAGCATCTGCAAGGGGGTTTGGGTGGGGTCAAAGGAATTCACCCTTTTATTTTAGAATAACTAAAAAAATATTTACGCGACGCCACCTAAAAATGTAGGTAATTGTGGCTTCGCCTGATCTCGGCATTATACTGTTCTTCCCTTGTCATTGCACTTGAAAAAGGTCACAGTGGTGGTCAAAACATCGTACAATAAACAGGAATTTAAACATATAAATATCAGGTTTGATTCGATCAGAAAATGATGTCTTATGAAATATATCATTGATGCAGCGAGTAAGTTTTAATGTTCAATCTCATCAATCAGTTTATTCAGACTTAGCGTCTACAAAAAGACACATGGTTTGTTTAGAGATACCCCTGTGTCAATCAATGGGTAAGGAGATAAAGTTATCTGAATACCTAATATTTCACATATGCCCTTTAATCTTAAAGTGAACCTCGCCTGTCAATTATTATCCGGGATAAGTGTATACATGTGAACTTAGAAGATAAGCAAAATGGTTTCAGAATTTTGTCATCAGGTGCCCTCTCTTGTTCGTTCCTATAGAGCGTTGGTGTTGAGGGGTTTGTGTGATCGTTCGGTCTCTGGATATGGAATATTCCATTCATTGCCTTTGATAGGGTCGTGGCGGATCCAACCCATGGATAATAATTTTTTGCGTGCTCCTTATTTATGACAAAAAATTAATGCATTTTACTTTCACCTCATTCCTCACTGACATCATTTATGGCATAACTAAAGTGAAAATATTCAAAAAGGCAAACCCTTCGCCTAAACCTAAATGAAGCATAAAATTGTCCCATTACCTACAGCAATTCGTCCATTCCACCGGCTGTATCTCAGTATCTGTAAACCTTGTTAAGACAGAGGATATGGCCGGGAGTCGAAGAATGAAGATGACTATCTGGTCCGTGTCGTTTAATAAATAAATTTCAGGCTGCAGTATTTTGACATTCCCGGGCCCAGTGATTTATAAGGGGCGAGCCAAAAAGGCGACATGCCGTTCAAGAAGTCAAACCATGCGGCCAGTCGCCCCCCGCGGATCGCAGGGCCTAAACACTGCGAGACGGGCGCCTCATCTCGGATATAGTCGAGTGAATTTAGTTAAATGTGGCATATTAACTCCATATTTTTACGGTCTATCTGCCGGTTACCTCTTTTGGCTACGATAAGTTGGATTTTGACAGGGATAAGCTTTTATAGCCACTCTTGGGAAGAAAAGCTTGATAGATGCGTTTTGTCAGCCTTTCCTGTCCCGTGTGAAATTTTCCAAAATATGGCATACCTACTCTCTGAAACATCTCAGTCGTTCGCTGTGCATTCCACCACGGAAGTGCATGGCAGCATCTTATCGTTGTGGCAAGCATTGCGCTAGAATTCATACCCAAAGGTATTTGTCTCATTCCATTTCTTTCCTCCATAGATACACATGTATGTATTTGCATACCCAGCAGAAAGGGAAACCTATTGTTGGTTTTCCCTCGCCTACATACCTGGCAAAGTTTTCAGCGGTGAGCCTCTCGCCAAATGTCACTAGCAGTTGTCTTTGGCAGTAAGCTGATCTACTGATATCGAGTGCGCAGCTCCCCTGTCAATTCAGAGCTTGATTTCTGGAATCAGTTTTCTATCTCATGCTCCATTGCTAGTCCTGCCTCATCTTCGCTGCCGCTTAATATATAGCGCCTCCCTTCCATCATTTTGAGTTTTGCACCCTTTTTATAGAGGACACAACTTGCCTCAGCTAGCAAATCAATGAGCTGGATTCCAGTCACCACCAGCAGCGCATCCGTCGACACCGTTCTATAGGCGCAGATCATGCATATGAGCAACGGTTGCCTGTATTCCTTCTTTTTCAATGCATTTTTGTAGATCGCGCATATAACATGTCTGAGTTTGACACCCCGACATTCCGTTATTTTTCACTGCGGTATCAACCGAGTTGGCGAAGCAACGACCCTATTTGCTTTATCTACGGTGTGCTTAGATTTGTATAACTTCATAACCCAAACTTCTTCGACTCTATGAAATCTTAACTTTTGAGCAGCATTCAACAATTGTCAGATTTCAATATTTGTGTCTTGGTCTTACGGGTCAAGTCTTGGTCTTGATCTTGCAAAAAATGCAGCCTTAGGATTGCTAGCAAGACCAAGACCAGAACTGCTATTGCTTAGCAATTTTCCTATAGACGTCGTGGTTTTTCGGTATTTAATTTTTTATATAGCTGTTGTTTGTGACATATTAAAAATGCTTCGTTCTAAAACCGCAAAATTTATTGAGCTCTACTTACGACGCAACAGAACAAACCCATTTTCTCGATCACCAAATTTTTCCGCTACTATTGATCACTTTGGATACTCAAAAACAAGACAATATAAACGCAGATCTAACAGCGTTCTTTGTTGTGAAGCGATATGAACGCCATTTGAACGGTGTTTACGAAAATAGAATAGAACTTTATTTGACTATGTACATTATGAACATACGTAAATACATTTGTAGCAAGAAAAATCTCGATGAGACCAACTGGCTTTGCTCCTCAGAGTTCTCCTCCTTGGCGTCGCCGCGCGATCCAGAACTGGCCGATACGGCCACTCTTTTGTCCCGAGGGTGTCGAGATTCTGAAACAATCCACAAGATGAGGATTTTCCCAGTTCGACTAACCTTAGGCAGTTCACAAGTCAGATTAACAAAATTTCTTTGGGATCTTCATAGCAGCCGCGGTGTCCTGGCATTTAGGCTTCTGCCTGCGTGGCTGCTTAAAAAAAAACTTGAGTGATCCCATCAAAATTACTTTGGCTGTCTAAAATGTCCGTACCATTTTCCAAACTTCCTCCAGAGGCGGGTGGCGGTGGAACCACCGATTCGCCTGGAACTTCTGCCTGAAGCCGGACTGCCTAGCGCCGTCACTCACTTGCCGCGCGCGCTGAAGTCTAGTCACGCCGTCTTTCGCTCCGGCTCTGTGGCCATGTGCTAGCTCAATACGATTGTTTGACAGGTGCGATTAGCAGGCATCACGCGCGATATGCAGCTCTATCTTGAGGGGACGTGCAGAAGAGCTGCGGTTGTGGTGTTGCTGCTGGTCATTGGCTTTGGTGAGATTTGCAATTTGTTTTTTGTATATAGGATTAAGTAGAATTATTGTCTCGAAGCTGCAATCCACGTATTCGAGCCGGACTTTCATTATTAGTCAAGTAGATTTATTCGATATTTTTTAGTCAATATTGCTGTTAAACATTTTGGCAAGAAAGCAAATTACTTGGCAAAAACAAATTCAGGCGAACTAAATTATTAAAATATTTTTCATCATATCACATGCGCAGCGTCTTTGTCTACAGAACTTGTTCAAATTAGTTACCCCAGAATGCAAGACTTCAATCTAGACTATCAAACTCTTTCACCCCCTTAAATCACTAACGGTGGCTGCATGGGTAACTCTAAGCCATTATAAAAAACCCTTGCAAATACATCAGGGATGCCCTCAAGTCTCTAGCAGAAACACACGAAGATTGTTGCATCGTTAAAAAGTAGTCATTTGAACAGTTTTTGTAGTTTGGGAGGCTTTACAAGTGATTTTTGTCAAAATAAAGTTTTTTAGAAAACTGAGTAAAATAATTGTCCTTTCAATTTCTACCCCTTGATTATGAAACACCCTATAATTAAATACCAAAAAATCTCTGTTAGGCATATTGGTAGGTATTGATGTTTTCTGTGGTTGTTGAAAAATTACACTAACTAAAGTTACACTAACATAAAAAATCGAGTAGATTCACCCGGTATTTCAAGTAATCAATATTAAAACAATATTCATTTGTTGCAATTACATGGTAACAATGCTTTAGGCGAAGTTTAGCTTGACTACAATTAATCAAAAAGGAGTCGCAACGTAGGTATGTTCGCAACTTAATGACTATAAAGATAATATTAACAACATTTCGCATAGCTTTTCGAAAATCGTAAAAATAATACACTCGTATCTTAGAAGGATAACAGCGATGTATAAAATGATATAATACTGTGTGATGCAGTGGTTGGTTGAATTGTGAAGCATACATGAACGATTTAGTTTTTTTTGCCGAAAAATTGATAAAGAATATTGTTTGTATGATTGTGGTATTTAATTTGTAAATGATGGATCTATTATATGAGAACCGACATTTGAATAACATTGAAGTATGCTGCTGTATCACAATAAATTTGTTTCTGAGTTTTCTGTTACGCATCTGATTATTAAAATTAATTTTTGTACTAATATATTCAGGTTTTGACATTAGAAGTAGTTTGTGGATGACCTGTGAATAATGATATTTTACAGGATCATTCATTCTGAACGACCTAAGTATTTTGCAGATACATGATTAAATTTCCGTAGCCTAAAGATAAATCGGACGCAAATGTTTTATATCTATTGGATTGTATTTTTATTTGCATGGTATAAAGAAGAAAATACAAAATATCACAAAAATTTAATAAAGATAACTTTTGCGGAATCTTTGAATTGTAGCTTTTGATTGTTTATTTGAATTATCAGGTGAGATGTTGAGTCATGCCTTTTTCTTTCAGCACAGAACAGTAGAATTTTTGATTTTTCCGAATTAATCTTTGACTTGTAGTTGAATGGATCATGGATCTAAATAATAGCGGGGAGCCTATATCAAAAAAGCAGTAATATCTCCAAAGCATATTTTTTGACAGTGTGTTTCAATTTCTTCATACTTTTATTCCCTTTAATTTCCAAATCATAATGGAATTGTTTTTTTTTGTTTTTAGACGTATTCAAAGGTCACTAGTTTGAACGTATGTGTTAGATGATTCTCGAATATGTAGTTATTATGATCACTCCGCTTTTGAACATATTCTTTTTTACTCTCATAACTTCCTAGTTTGCAAGGGTTTTGATATAGTTTGACGACAATAATGATAGGCTCTTAGATATACACATTATTGTGTCGTTGCGTGACATTCTGTACCCTAATTTTACCTATTAGTAAACATGAATGACACGTATTAATGACTTTATTAGTAACCATAATCTGTATTTCCGCTTTCCAGAAGATTGATGAACCCTGGAAATAGGATAGATCGTAAATCTGTCGTCAAATGCATTTTCACAAACATACATTTCAACTCTTGTTTTTTCTCGTGGTATGGTATTTTAATAATCATCCTTACATCCTATAGTTGTATAGTTAATCGCGAATGAGACCCTTCTAGCAATTATTGCTTTTATAAATGCGGTGAAACAACATTTTTGATCAAAATGTTTAAAAACGTCATTGGGTTAAATCGAAATTTCTCCGCAAATCTCTAAACTTTAAAGATGCCATGTCAAATATGAGACCTGTAGATCCATCAAGATTTAATGTTTGTATAGAAATGACAAATTTGGACATATGGAAGAAGAAAATGTATTTTTCTCAAAGTATGTAAAATGTTTTCTGGAACAATTTGTGGACATTATTTCTATTTGATTATACTTGTTTTTGTTGGAATGTGTTAAAGCTGGAAATTTAGTCAAAAAAATCTGGTTGAGAGAATAGAAAAAAGTTTCTTTGGATTTTCAAATGTTGTATTTATATCACAAAACAGGCATGCATTATATTGGAACCTTTGATGTATGGTTTATATGTAAGCCATTCAAAATATTTGTAAGAATACAATACAATGATAATGATAATGATAAACCGTCTTTTATTAGAAAAAAAAAATTACAGATAATGCATATATTATTATCTTTAATTAGATTAGTGAGCAGCTTAATGCCGAAGTTTAGCTATGACAGCCATTCTTACACTTGACCATTTACTGCATAAGAATAATAGATGGTAAAAAAGTACAGCTGTAAAGTAAATAAAAGGAGGAAAATACCCATGTAACTGATCACAACCTAAACAAAAATTATCTTAAAAATATATATCCTTACATACATCACTTTCGTTAAATTCGCTTGTTGTCGAAGAAAATTGATAAAGCAATATTCTTCATTCTTGTTGCCTGCTGTTTGTTATTATGGTGAAGCTCCTATGGGTATTAGTTGTGTGGTCTGAAGGCATACTGGTGTTTACGTAGCGGTTTAAGCCATTTATTGCAATTCCAAGAACGTTTGTGTTAGAAAAAGGGCGTGTAATATTTCTTTACTGTAAATATTCAATATGTTTTGATCTAGGGGGTACTGCCGTGACGTGGCAATACATCAAGCTGTTCGGGTTTGGCATTGTTCGATGCTAAAGGGACTGATGTCTATGTTGTTATTGAAAGGGATTCATACGGATTTAAAGGAAATTCTGTGAAGCTCAAGTTGCACGTGCTTAATTTTTAAAGCGAATTTCGTAGTATTCTTTGGACAAGAGACCTTAGACCTATCAAACAATCTTGAACATTTTTAAACCGTTGGGAAACCTATTATTACTGCGATTAAGCATATTTAATTATCCGAGGTTCACTCAAAATACAGTCTTAGAATTCCATCACACGTTTTAAGCCAATAAAACTGCCCATTAGCGATAAAGTTTGTAATAGCAAACCATGTCACTCGTTTCCGTCAGTCTGTTCGTTCGCCAGTCCTAGGCCTCGCTGTAAATTGGAAACTGCTAGTCGGATTTTAATGATTTTGACACAATATTACCAAGAACGAAAAGCTATTGTAGTTTTTTAAATCAATCCAGTGGCAGAGGAGCTACGGACGAAAAAACGAAAAGAAGTAAAAATCGCCCAAGCTTTGCTTTTTGGCGTTTCAGACACCTCTGATTGTTTAAAAAAAATGGGAGCGGATGCTGGAGAGGGTAAGGGGTTGGAGCGGTTAGAAGGTTGAAGGGGATAGAAGGTTTGAGGGGTTAGAATGTTGGAGGGGTTAAAAGATTGGAGGGGTTCGAAGGTTCTGGGAGGTAAAGAGTTGGGGTTGGAAGGGGTAAGAGGTTGGAGCGGCTGGGAGGTTGTAAATGTGGCATTTTTGGTATCAGTGAAAGACGTTTTATTATTAAGCAGCCTCTCACCTCGGTATACTATGACATATCAAGACGCTTGAGCAGGAGTAAGCTTAATGTAGCAGTCCTATGAATAAACTTTGTGTAGTAAGTGCGTAAGACGAACCTATATATCTCATGCTTTGATCGATTTCTTTTGATCATAGTTCATATGAACTAGATTAGAACTAGAAGTATGTGGTAACTACAAAGGCAAACTATTCGACGCCGCCTTTTTGTTTATTTGGATTTGTATGATTTATATACAGCTACTGGTTTGCTTTGAAAACATCCTTCTTTGCTACTGTGGTTGTAGCAGATTCAAAATTGCACTGAAAAGCGAGTGTTACGTTTTGAGTTACTGGATAGGTGACAGCGACCGAAAGATGTAGACTAACAGAATTGACCACAAAAGACATTATGAACCAATTTCTTGAGACCACACAATGCCAAATGAAGTCAAAACATTTCAATTTATTGTCTCTACACCCCAGGGTGTACAAATATCCATGCACATCTCCAGCTACAGCACAAAAACATTTACAGTAAAGAAATATTTCATGCCCTATTTCCAAACAAGCGGTTCACAGAAATGCAATGAATGCTTTTAGTAACCATATAAACGTCAATATACTTTCCAGACCACAAAAAGTTAAGCCCATTGAATGAGTCCAGAGTGAGCTAAGCCTGATGAATATCTGTCATTTGGTACCACCCTCTAACAGTCAGGCAATAAATCAAATTTTAAAGTACCCTGAAAACAGTCTCAGTCTGTATAATATATCCTGCAGTTTCGAATATCGGTTCAGATGGTTTATGTCGCAGAGATGGACTCAGGTAGAAGCCTGTCTTTGCCAAGGTCTTTATTGACTTAGTGCTGCGGTTGTAAATCTTAATTTGCTCCAAAGGTAGACGTGGAATTGAATTATTGTTGTTCTTGAAGTGAAATCATCTCGAAGTATTTGACTTCGTGTTGTTTTATTGTACGGGAGAATATGGGGAAAGTATTGCAATTGTCAGATCTATGGAGGTTATGACATTATGTTCATGTTTCATTTCATATAGGATATAAAAATGACTTCAAGTGGATTCACTCTATACTTAAAATGCTTTCGTTACGGCATTCAATAAAT